AGAAAACATTTTACATAAAAATGAAATATTATCCACATTTAGCTGTAAAGAGATAAAAGTATAGTCAAAACCAAGAAAGAGATGTACTAATTATAGTGTCTATAACAGACAATATGATTAGAAGAGGAACAGATGGAAGTCATAGTTGAAAATCAAAGCTTTAATATTACTACATGCTCTTACTTTTACTAGGTGAAAGGTCTTTTTGAAAATATTAACAATGGAACTTTAAAATAAGATTCCTTTGGGGGGAAATTGTTGGTTCCTCTAAAGGGAATATGAACACATTTTTTTCCTATTATGTAATACTTCTTGGTGCTTTATTCAAGTTGTAATTATTTCTCAGATAAGGTAAGACCCTAGAATAAGGTCCAGTGTAGTTTTACTCCTTGACATATATAGTAAGTTTTAAGGAATTTTCTGTCTTTTAAGAGTTAAATGTATTGAAGATCAAGGAAATGTAAATTAGGGCATAGGAACTAAAAGCCTCCTGGGACAGGATTTGATGAATCTCCACATTTATTTGAACTAGTCTAGGCAAATTTAGATAACAGGTTATAATGTGACATGTAATTCCGCTTTGCTAATTAGCCACATCTTTCTTTTCCTTTCTCTTGGCTTCCAGAGACCTGAAACCAGTCAAATAGGAACTCTTGGTTAATTAATATATTTATTCAGGGTTTTGGCTAAATATGAATATGTCAATATAATTTTATTAGTTTTTCTTATGAGCTGTGTTTTCATTTGCCCTATGAATCCCATTTTTAAAGTAGAATACACCATTTCTGTTTTCTTTATATAGGGAAATTCTTGCTTTAAAAACACTGTAACAGATGCCAAGAGAACGAAAGTATTTCCTTAAAGCCAGAAGTTCCTCACAGATATTTCAAAGTCACATGTTACTTTGGGGAGTGATGATTGGGCCCTTTTTTAAAATCCCATTTTCACTCATTGGTTGTCAGTGTTTTTTGTTTGTTTGGTTGTTTTTTTTTTTTTTTTTTTTTTCCAGTGAAATTTCTGGGCCAGGCCCAGTGCCTCAGGCCTATAATTGCTGCACTTTGGGAGGCCAAGGCAGGCAGATCATTTGAGGCCAGGAGTTCAAGACCATCCTGGCCAACATGGTGAAATTGGCCAACTAAAATTACAAAAATTAACCAGGCATGGTGGTGCACACCTGTAATCCCAGCTATTTGGGAGGCTGAGACAGAGAATTGCTTGAACCTGGGAGGCAGAGGTTGCAGTGAGCCGAGATGGCGCCACTGCACTCCTGCCTGGGTGGCAGAACAAGACTGTCTCAAAAAAAAAGGAAAGAAAAGTGAAATTTCTAAATGAAAAATGCTTGACTATATTTGTCTTGTGGGAATTATCACCAATAATACTATTTTTGAGTGCTTATTATGTGCCAGGCTTACACATAATTACTCATTTAGTGCACACAACCACTATCTTAGCTATTTTTATTATCATTTTACAGATTAAGAAAATAAGAGCTGGGAGTGGTGGCTCACGCCTGTAATCGCAGTGCTTTAGAAGGCTGCTTGAGTTCAGGAGTTAAAGACCAGCCTGGGCAACATGGCAAAACCCCTTCTCTACAAAAAATACAAAAAGTAGCCAGGTGTGGTGGCACACACCTGTAGTTCCAGCTACTCAGGAGGATAAGGTGGGGGGATTGCTTTAGCCCAGGAGGTAGAGGCTGCAGATTGTACCACTGCACTTCAGCCTGGGCGACAGAGTGAGACCCTTTTTCAAAAAAAAGAAAAAAAAAGAAAGAAAGAATGTACAGAAAAGATAAGTAACTAGCCTAAAATCATACAGCTAGGATTGCAAAGTCTCTTAAACACTGTGTGATACCACCTTTTGTATGTCTAATCCAGCAGTGTATATGACCTTTTTTAAAATTTTACTGCCTTACTTAATACTGTTGGCTCAAAAAACTAACCTTGATGTTTCACTTTCTTTTTGGTAAGAGTTGAAGTTAATCTTTTCCGGTTTGATAAAGTTTTGAATTCTACTTGCTTGCAAAAAAAAAAAAAAAAAAAGTGATAAAGTACAGCTAGAAATTCATATTAACTTGAGAAACCACATAACACTTCGTTTTAAAGAAAGAAAATACGAGCTACATAAATTTTAATACCTGAATTTAAAAATCAGAATATCAATTTTACTGTTATTGGCTCCATTATTTCTTCATATATCATAAGCACCACTTGGCATCTTGAGAAGTACTGTCTTTTTTTTTTTAAGCCATTACTCTTAAAATGGACACTGTCATCTGTATTTGAAAACTTGGATCTTTGCTAATTGTAATCAAGGTTACTCTTTTGAGCAAACAGTATTAGGTAAGGTAGTAAAATTTTTAAAAGGTCATATACACAACTGGATTAGACATAAGAAAGCTGGTATCACACAGTGTTTAAGAGAATTTGGAATCCTGGCTCTACAATTTACTATTATAAACTAAACAATTTATTAACTCTTTCAAATATTGATTAATTATATGTTAAATATAGCATCATTTGAATGGAGCTGCTCATTATAGTCTTTAGACAAGCAAAATTTAGAACATAATTAATTTACTGGCTGGGCTCGGTGGCTTATGCCTATACTCCCAACACTTTGGGAGGCTGAGGCAGGCAGATCACTTGAGATTAGGCGTTCAAAACCAGTCTGACCAACATGGTGAAACCTGAACTCTACTAAAGATAAAAAAAAATTAGTCGAGTGTGCTGGTGGGCACCTGTAATCCCAGCTACTTGGGAGGGAGAGGCAGGAGAATCACTTGAACCAGGAGGCGGAGGTGCAGTGAGCCAAGATTGTGCCACTGCGCTCCAGCCTGGCCAACAGAGTGAGACTCTGTTTCAAAAAAAAAAAAAAGCCAGGCACGATGGGTCACAGCTGTAATCCCAGCACTTTGGGAGGCTGAGGAGGCTGGATCACCTGCGGTTGGGTGTTCAAGACCAGCCTGACAAACATGGAGAAACCCTGTCTCTACTAAGAATACAAAATTAGCCAGGCATGGTGGTACATGCCTGTAATCCCAGCTACTCAGTAAGCTGAGAATGAAGAATTGCTTGAACCTGGGAGGCAGAGGTTGTGGTGAGCCAAGATCATGCCATTGCACTCCAGCCTGGGCAACAAGAGGAAACTCCATCTCAAAAATAAAAAGAATGTAATTAACTTACAAAAGTGAACTGAGGAACAAATTCAAGATTTCTTATCCTTTCACACCTGCTGGAATTTTCTGTTTTATTTTTAGTTACAGATTTTGCCATCTTTCTTCTTTCCCATCCAAAGTTCTTTAAATTATTTTAAAAACATTTGCTCAGTTTTCTCTTCTCTTACAAATTAGCAAATTTAGTTCTTTTTTACACATCATAACCCTAAAAAAAAAATCTGGCTTTGGTATCTGAAATATTTTCCAAGGCATTTCCATTTTGAGTATCTCAGTACTCTGTTTGGCAGCTGTGTGTAAATGGTTAGTAGATGTTATAAAAGTATGCTGAATTGGTATGAAAAACGTCGTGGATTGCTGAACTTCTTTATCTGTAATAGAGTGACATGAAGAGTGTGGACTTTGGATATAGACAGTCATGTATTTAAATATAGGCTCTGCCACATAGTTGATGGGTAACCTTGAACAAGAGACCAGTTCACCTCTCTGTCAGTTACATTCTCAGTAAAATTGGGATGATAGGTAAAGTATCTAGTGCTACAAATTATAGCTATTGTGCATGACTTTGAGCTCTTTACTCAATTTATGAAAGGAGTTCTCTGTTATCATATATATGATCTTCTTTCTTGGTTTGCATGAAAGACTAGTATACCATCTGCACAATTGTTCTCTCTACAGTCCTTTCCTTCCCAGTTCAATTAGCTATGAAAATCTCCTGTGCTACCTGGGCAGTGGCTCATGCCAGCACAATGGGAGGCTGAGACAGGCGAATCACGAGGTCACGAGTTTGAGACCAGTGTGGCCATCATGGTGAAACCCCATCTCTACTAAAAATACAAAAAATTAGCTAGGTGTAGAGGCAGGCACCTGTAATTCCAACTACATGGGAGGCTGAGGCAGGAAAATCACTTGAGGCGGAGGTTACGGTGAGTTGAGATTGGGCCACTGCACTCCAGTCCTTGTGACAGAGTAAGACTCTGTCTCAAAAAAAAAAAAAAAAAAAGTCTCCTGTGCTATTTCTGCAATGAGCAACTGGCCCTGGTTAGTCCATTAGCTAAAGAGAGGCCTCCAGTTTGATTTCACATTTCTGAGTTGTCCTTTGTTCACAGTTATTCATCTCATTTCTGAGCTGTAAAATCCCTTGGGTTCTGTCGTATAAGTTTCAGCTGTAGGCTTGTAAATTGTTAATACCATCTATTTTTCAGTCAAGAAATTTTGTAATGCTACTCAGTGTGCTTAGAATAGGATAGTAAATTTAGGTCAAATTTTATTTCATGGTTGTTGAAGTTTATTTATGGAAAAAATCTTTAAAACCATTTGATATTTGGAAATATTTTGGAGTGGTACCCAGCTAAATTAGCTAACAACAACTGCTTGTCCAAATGCCAGCCTTCATAATGACTGTTATTTCTTTTTTAATACCAATGTGGATAGCACTTTACTTAATGCAACATAATTTTAGAGGAGATTTTTTTTCTAAGGAGCCATTCTGTATTCTTCCTTAGTTACTAATTATCTGAACTCATCCATATTTGATTGCCTATATATTAATATAAGTGGCAAAGCAACTAATTTGCCATGAAATTAAAAAACTATTATGTACATGAAATGGTAATGAGACATCCTTGTTTTGTTTTATTGTGCCTAGCTGATGATATCTAAAACATTTCTACGTATTCCTCATTTCCTATTTCCAGGTGTTCGGTGATATTATTACAGGTTTTAATTGTTTGTTTGTATATTATGTTTTGTGATATGTATATTTGATTGGTTTGTTCATATAATCAAACAATGTCAATGTTTTTTCTTTTTCTCATCTCCTGATTAGGATTTCTGGCAGGTACTGACTCAGCAGCATGTGCTTTAAATTAATTAATGCTCCAAAACCCATAGTAATGCTTCAGGAACAAAGGTTCAATGCATGATGTGTATGTCCTTCCCCTGCTCCCTTCAGAATGATTTTGTTCCTGTCACTTTAAATTAACATACTTTAATATAACAATCCAAGCACTGCACAAGTCCTTGAGAATTTAATACCCAGCATGATTTAAAAGGAATTTTTAACATTGTATGTTATACAAAAGGTTAAGAAACATTGTTTTAATCACTCTTATTAAGTGTAAGAGATAATTAATAAATTGGGTCACTTTAATAGTCTTACTTAGAGGCCAGGCCTGGTGGCTCATGCCTGTAATCCCAGCACTTTGAGAGGCTGAGGTAGGAGGATTACTTGAGCCAAGGAGTTCACAACCAGCCTGAGCAACATAGCAAGACCTCATCTCTATGAAAACATTTAAAAATAGTAGTAGTCGTAGCTACTCAGGAGGTTGATGTGGGAGGACTGCTTGACCCCAGGAGTTGGAGGTTATAGTGAGCTATCATTGTGCCACTATACTCCAGCCTGGGTGACAGAGTGAGACCCTATCTCTAAAACAAAAACAGAAAAGTCTTATTTGGGATATTATGTTCCTACTTGAACTGTAACAGGACTGATGAGACAACAGTAACTTCAAGTTAAAAATTAGTATTTTTTCTTTTGAAATTTCATACATAATAAATACAAATAAGCAGTTGCTTGGTTGCACTTTGTTCAATAAAATGGCTTAAGGGAAAACAAATGGAATATCTAGAAAGACTTTCTTATTTTGCTTTTCTGAGCTAATCAATTAACTTGGAAAAGCAACTAAATATTTGGAAAAAACCATGAAAAGAGTATATACTTGTAGGTTGGCAAAGGAGATCTTCAAGGACACTCCTAAAAGTACTTTTTGAATTAATTTTTGAAGGCTTGGGCTCTTTAATGGTAGTTTATAAATTATTAAAATTTATTCATTAAAATATTACTCTCACGTTGGTGGTGGTTGGCAGTCTTAAAAATATAAATTAAGCTGAATGGTAGTAATTAAATATGAATTAAGCTGAATTATAAAAATCTATTGGTTTAAAATAACTAATTATATAATTAATGAAGACCACAGGGTGCTGTTTATTTTTATAGTACCTTTTTTCTGTACTCCTTTGTTTCAAAAATGGAGTGTTTCCTAGTAGTCCCCTTACCAAACCGTCAAATTAGGCATCCTGTTATTGCTACGATAGATTATCTTCCTAAATACCTTTTCCTTTAACAGCATTTGAACCAAACCAACAAATACGTTAAAAATTATGTCATAATAATTTATGGATGCTCCCATTATCAATGTTTCTAATCCTGGGAATTCTATTTTAGAACAGCCATGGCACAAACATTATACAAAGTACCAAGAGTAGATCAGATGAGATACTAACACCTGTGATTGAGGCCAGCCACTTCTGGTTCTTTAATTATGGTAGGACAGTTTGTAGAGGGCAGCTAAAAACTCTTTCTCAAGACTGAGCGTGGTGGCTCATGCCTGTAACCCCAGCACTTTGAGAGGCTGAGGTGGGCGGATCAGAAGGTCAGGAGTTAGAGACCAGCCTGGCCATCATAGTGAAACCTCGTCTCTACTAAAAATACAAAAAATTAGCTGGGCGTGGTGGCAGGAGCCTGTAATCCCAGCTGCTTGGAAGGCTGAAGCAGGAGAATCGCTTGAACCCAGAAGGCGGAGGTTGCAGTGAGCTGAGATCATGCCATTGTACTCCAGCCTGGGCTAGAGAGCGAGATTCATCTCAAAAAAAACAACAAAAAAAAACTCTTTCTCTCCTTTAATAATTGTATGGCTTACAGCTTGAAGATTTAAAATGACTGGACTTGGATAGGTGTCCTTACTAATTAGGAATAGGTTAGAAAGGCAGCAGTTAGTAAGTGCTTAAAAGTCTCTGGAATCTGCAGCATTAAGTAGTCAACCACATTAGGTGACAAAAGAGCACCAGTCTTCTTTAAACTTTCACTGTTGAAGGTAATGTCCTTGGTTGATCAAGGATTCAAAATCAAGTTTTTCTGTATTCCTAAGGATATCTTGTGAATAAACTTTTTATATTAAAGAATAATAAACTTTTTTCTTAGGTAGTGGGAGAATTGTTTACCTATATTGGGTTCTATGAATATCACTCATTTTGGTGACACTAGTATAAATCCTTTAAGCTTCCAAAGGTCAATGAACAGTTATTTTGTTTCTTGCTTGCTTCCTTGCGGGGATTTGTTCTTTGCATGCTAAGTTTCTATTGACTGTGGAAAGGCTGGGATCGTTTTGTTTTCCTGGTAGCATAGAATGCTGTTCGTCAGATGCAGCATTATTAATGCTGTCAAATACTTAGACTGCTGTGAGGAATATCCATAATGTCTCTTTCCAGTCTCTGAGTTCCACCACTACTAAAGTTTGTTCATCTAACCCATATGTTTGACTATTCAAGTTGAGAAATAAATAATAATATAATGATTAAGTGCACCAAAGAAGGGTGTAGTTTACTTAGTTGTCTCAAATATTCAGACTCCTATTAAAATATCTTTAAATCCATTTTTATTTTAGATTATGTTGTGTTTGAATTTGGGATCAATGAACCCATTTGATTTATCACTGTTGATTTGAAAACATAAACATGACTAACCATTGCATTTCTTACACCTTCATCTTTAGGTTTTTGCATCATAAAACAAGATTTGAAATTCACTTTGGTATGAGAGAACTTTCTTTAGTTCCAGGCTAACTTCTTTTTTCTTATTTTTTAGCACAAATACTCTAGCATGTTTCAAGGTCACACAAATAAAGTTCTATGAGAGATATACTAAACAAGTTATTTCTCCTTCTATTCTGGTAAAACAAATTCTCGGCTTAGCCTGAATATCTATTTATGATCTTTGGTTGTAAATCATATGTGTGAGGATAGCCCTTTATTTACATATTTGTTTTTGGCATGATGCATTTTAAAAAATTCTCTTGAATAGAAAACAGCACCAATTACAGATAAATCTAACATTTATTAACTTAAAAGTATAAAGAATATTATACTTGAAGTGATGCACATTTTCAAAATGATTGAAATATACCTGAATAAGTGAAAGCTTTAAAAAATGTGCACTTGGCTGGGCGCGGTGGCTCAAGCCTGTAATCCCAGCACTGTGGGAGGCCAAGGCGGGTGGATCACGAGGTCAAGAGATCGAGACCATCCTGGTCAACATGGTGAAACCCTGTCTCTACTAAAAATACAAAAAATTAGCTGGGCATGGTGGGGTGTGCCTGTAATCCCAGCGACTCAGGAGGCTGGGGCAGGAGAATTGCCTGAACCCAGGAGGCGGAGGTTGCAGTGAGCCGAGATCGCGCCATTGCACTCCAGCCTGGGTAACAAGAGCGAAACTCTGTCTCAAAAAAAAAAAAAAAAAAAAAAAAAAAAAACTCAAAAAAAAAAAAAAAAAAAAAAAAAAAAAAATGTGCACTTACATGATTGGCTTGGACTTTCTTCTTCAACTTCAAGTTAACTTAGCAGATACAAACTAAGCCCTAAGGTAAATATTTTATGATAGTTAACTACTTCAAAAATATTCAGTCCTCATTAACATTTTCCAGAAATTGTGAACCATATAGATACCCAGTATGTTCCTGGGCAGTTGATCAATGTAACATAATAATGATTCATGACCTGGGCTCTGGAGTCTCCTGCCACTTAATGGGATTGTCACCTGTGGCTACTTATTCAACTTCTCTAAACCTAGTTTTCTTATCTATAAAGTGCAGGTAATAGTGTCACCTACCTCATAGAATTGCAGTGAGCACTTAAAGAGATAATGCAAATATAAAATGCCTAGCACAGTGCCTGGCATTTACTAAAGAGAGTAAATCAAGTGAAATGCTAACACCTATAATTGAGGTCAGTCACGTCCAGTTATGAGAAGTATAATGTTTAAGTTCTTCATGTGTCTTTAATGGTCATTTAAGGGATACCTATCAATGTTTGTTTGCTTTCAAAATTGATTTTAAATTCCTTCATCAAATTTCCCGAGAGGTGATAGTTACTAAAACAGTGTAGATCAAGGCTGTGAACAGTGATCCTCAGAGTGAAACTTTAATTTTTGCTCTTATGATACATTTTGTTCTTATACAAATTTTTTTCCAAGTGAAAGAAGGTGAAATCACTATATTGACTTATTCTTCAAAATCTTTACTTGAGACTGTTTTTACATTAAGTGGTAGAGAAATCTTTTATAACCCAAGTGACTAAAACCAACACTGCTGCTGATTTCAGGACTGTTCTTTTTAACACTGATCCGTTTGAGTGACCAAAGCTCAAAATTAAATTCTTAGATCTAGGTAGCAGATAATCAACAGTCATAAAACATAGATTCTCCTGCTCAAAGCTGCTTTGAAGCTAGTATGTAGAAATGATATGGTAGAACATAGTAGAGTTGAAGATTTTCTCCTTCTAGAGTTTTGATAATACCTCATCAGATACTGAGGATTAAAATAAACCTTTTCAGCAAAGTTGTATCATTTCCTTAAAGTAAGTGCCATTCCAGTAGACTTTTAAAATGTTTTATTACTGCTTTTTAATCAAATCATCTGTTTTTTAAAAACATCTTCATTTGTACCATCTTCTCTGAAGCCATCTAGTTAATGAGATAGGAAAACATTTGCATTCCAGGTATTTGGAATTGTTCTTACAGCTAAGGTGGTTAGATTTGGGACTGAAAAGAGAATTGCTTTCTGGCATAGTGAAGTTTACAGTATCTTAAGCATTCACCTTCCAATTTGTTGCACAGTAATTTATGTGTTTGCCCCAAATTCAATATTACCTTTGAAAAGCTTAGAAGAAAATCTGTGTCCGAAGGAGGAATCATAAACTACTTCAAATTAGAAATATTTTGATTTCATTATTATGTGGCATATCCCCAAATTCTACCTTTCTGCAAATTCAGAGATGGGGTGGGGA